TGTGGCCAGATGCACAGGCAAGTCAGGGTTGACACCCATTGTTTCAGGATGACAGGGCTGCCCTGCTTTCCTGAAGAGAGGCCCAAAGGTCTCCTCCTCCTTCCTCCCTCCCTCCCTCCCTCCCTTCTTTCCTTTCTGCCCCTCCTCCTCTTTTTCATATTCTAGTCTAAGAGTAACCTTAACATTGTCTTTCTGACTCCAGAGCAGATAACTGGGACAGGAAGGGCCTCTCTTCCCTGTCACCCTGCTGTGGGCACCCCAGCAGGAGCTCTCATGAATCAGCGCAGGGGCTCCCTGCCCCAGGGTGTGGGGTCACAGGTGCAGCACCCTCTGCAGGCTTGTGCTCTGGGAGCACGGGTGTGGCATGTGCACTCCATGCAAGTGGTCCTGGTCTCTATGGTCCATCTTTATTTAAGAAAAAAAAAAGAGAAATAATTATTTATTTAATTCCATTTGTTGTTATTATTATTTTTTAATTTGACCAGAGAGAGAGAGAAAGGAAAAGTGAAAAAGAAAGCCACCAAGTCTGGGACTCAAACTATGGTCGGCCATGTGGGAACCAGCACCTTTGACCCATGCCACCTGCTGGCCCGTCTATGGTCCATCTTGAAGAATGACGGATGCACTTGTATCACTGGAGAAAGAGGTCACGACTCATATTGCAGTTCACTTGGCTAGTACCCTTCCCTTCGTTCACCCACAAAGTGTCACTAAAGCCCGGACACTTTGTTCTAACATTGCCCACCCTGTACCTCTACTGTGGTTCAGGCTTCCAGATGGGTGTGCAAGGAAGAGCAGGTGCCCTGTGAGTGGGGCCAGCTTAACACAAGGATGCAAGGAGGTGGGAGCCCCGGGAATGCCACAGAGATGGGGCTGGGGAGCTCTGACCCGGCAGCTCCTGTAATCTGGCGAAGTGCCTAATCCAGCTTCACTTAGTGTCGCTGAGCAGGGTCAGGGAGGCGCGGCTGCCGGGCCACCAAGGCCGTGTGGAGGGGGTACTGCCAGATATGCATGGGCCAGGGTGAGTCTCATTGGAGCAGGAAGAGGAATTTGAAGGAGGAAGGAAAGGTCCAGCTCTGGTTCATCTGGAACATTCTTTCTTGGCCCTTAGTCTTTGTATAGGACAAGGCCTGTGGCCCCAGCCCTGGCTAATGGGGTCAGGCCACAGGCCCAGCTACCCTCCCTGCCATAGACCCTCTGTCATGGGACACTGGCTGGAGCTGCAGGCCAGGTCAGCAGAGGACCCTTGCCTTCCACACCCAGGCTGTGTGACTGTCACCTCAGACAAGGTCCAAAACATGTTCATCACCCAAAGGAACCCCCAACATGCTAAGCAGTCTTTCCCCATTCTCCCGCCCACAGTCCCTGGCAGCCACTAATCTGCTTTGTGTCTCTGTGGATTTAACTGTTCTAGTTATTTTATATAATGGAATCATTCACTGTGCAGCCTTTAAAAAAAATAATAAACTTGTACTTTAATTCCATTTTTTCCAAAGACTTTTTAATTCATGACGCAGCTCCCATGAGAGAGGAGAACCCCTCCACAGGACTTGGTCAGGCCACCTCCCCTTCCTGTAGTCCTCCAGCCTGCCAGGGTCCTGGGTGTGTGCACATACTCTCCGTGTGTGTTCAGGGTGATCTAACAGGGAACTCAAACATGGCTGGCATGTGGCTTCTTGTCCAGTACACTGCTGACGGTGCCACAGAGCCTGGGCCACTTGTAGCCTTTTATTTCTGGCTTTTAGCATGATGTTTTTGAGGTTCACCCATAGCATTATGGGTGAACTAGAAGGGAATGAAGTGACCACATACTCTATTATGTGGAATATCACATTTTGTTGACCTCTCCACTGTTCAGTGGGCCTCTGAGTTGTCCACTCCCTGGCTCTTGAGGTTAATGCTGTTGTGAACATTTGTGAACAGTTAGATGCATTGTTTTAATTGCCAGAGGGTTTGTGTGCTCACCAGAGAGACGGGTGGGGAGGGTGGTGAAGGAAGCAACTCCCAGTGGGGCGTGGTCATGCCACAATCCCTTCCTCACCGTTTCTCCATCCTGTTGGGATTTTGGGGCACGTACGTGTGCACATGCACCAGTTTTGCAAGCTGCTGGAGCCATTTGAACTGTGGTTGGCCATATAGAATCCAGCTCCTTTAACCTCTTGGCCACAGGGCTGGCCCAGGGAGGGCCTTCTGGATGCCTTCTGAGCTAAGTGCTTGCCAGACATCGGTTTGTGTCATCCTCATGAAAGACTTGAGAGTGGATGACCCCCGCCTCCTATAGGTGAGGACACTGAGTGAAAAATGGTGAGCTGGCTGTTGGTGACTAGTGCAGGAGGAAGAAAGGAGGAAGGGGCTGAACTGCACAATGGGGTTTTAGTGTTCATGACAGTTAGGCCTTGGGGGAGATCATGTGAGGGAGACTGAATTGGTTCCTTGGGTATGAAAGGTGAGACATGAAGAGGGGCTGGATGATGGCACAGCAGTAAAAGCGTAATGTTCTACAAGGCAATCCCACATGCGAGGTTCCTAGTTCAAGTCTGGAGACCTCCCTGAGGACAGCAAACACATGCATGCCCATTATCTGAAGCTGTCTGGGGGTGGATTGCAGCAGTGAGACCCTGCTGGGGGTGCCGTTTGTTTCTCTGTCTTCCACTTATGGAAGAAATAAACTTTTTTTTTTTTCTTTTCTGTTTCGTTTTGTTTTTAGAGAGGTTTTGGAGAGGTTTTTGCTATAGGGTGCATATGCTCACCAGAAAGACAGAGAGAGACAGACAGAAAGTGAGAAATCATCCCTCAGGAGGGATGGCCACGCCGCAATCCTTTCTCCTCCATTCTCCTCTCGGGATCTTGGGCATGCACGCACATGCACCCGGCATGAGTTTAAGCCACCGGGTCTGGGACTTGAACCGTGGTCAATTACATGGGAGACCAGCAACACAGCCATTATGCCAACTGCTGGTCCCCCCCCCCTTTTTTTTCTTTTTTCTTTTTTAATAGAGCAATGCTTTTAATCAATGTATTTATTTATTTATTATTTAGTTTTTGCTTATAGGGCACATGCGCTCACCAGAGAAAGAAAGAGATAGAAAGAGAGAGGAGAAGTCAGAAATCACACCCTGCCCCCACGGGTGGCCCCATCACGTTCTCTTCTGGAGATTTTGAAGCATGTTTTTCAAGCTGCCAGCTCAAGACTTGAACTGCACATTTACCATGTGGGATCCAGCTGCCTTAACCTCCACACCATCAGCTGACTCTGGAAGAACCAAATTTTTGTTATTGAGATTTTTGCTGTAGGGTACATGTACTCACCAAAGAGACAGAGAAACAGAACATGAGAAATCAGCCCCTGGGCAGATGGCCACGCCACCGTTTCTTCTCCAGTCTCTTGGGATTTGGGGCACTCACGGACACAGGCCCAGCGTGAATTTCAAGCCACTGGGTCCAGGACTCGACTGTGGTCAACCACCTGGGAGTCCAGCAATGTAATCCCTACATCACGTGGGGGCCCCAGAACTAAACTTTTTTTAACAAAAAGGAAAGAGAAGTCATTTTGAGGAGCAGAGTCCTGCAGACATGAACACGTGCTGGGAGGGCTGGGGGCCGATTGGGGAAAGGGCTGTCAGCACCCGCTAGGGAAGCCCACGGAGGAGCCCTCCGCCTAGCTCCTGGGTTTGGCCACGCTGTTGTTTTCCAATAACTTTGCACTTTGGCAGAAATCGAGCTGAGTGACTTCTGCCTGTAATTGGCATGGGCTGTTTCCGTCCAACACGTCAGACTAGACCACATTCTTTGTGTTTAACCCCTTCCCCCACATACACCTCACTCCGCCCTGCCCTTCCCCCAAGCAGGCGAAGAGCGAATGATCTGACCCGGCCTACTCAGGGTGTTCTGTGTGTAAAAATACACGGGGTTGAGCCATTTCCTGCTGCTTCCGTTGTTGCGTGGCGATGGCGATAAGACGCTGGGCGCCCTGCTGGGGACAGAGAGATCCCCCAGCCCTGAGGACCAGGCCCCTGGAGAGCCACACTCCAGGCCTGCCTCGCCTGCGCATCTTCCTATCTCCTGCTCGCTTTCCTTCCTTTCGCTCCCCCTCTCCCTCTCTCAGTTTCCCTTCTCCCTCTGCCACCCTGATGTGCTTGGGAAGCCTGCCTGCCTGGTGGGGAGAAGCAGGGGCTGTCTCTCCCTTCCTGCGTATCCACCCCTTTCAAAGTCAGGTGGCTGGGACCCTCGGGCTGCCAGACAGGTCCCTGCTCTTGGCCTGTGAGTCACGTCTGGGGTGTTCAGCCTTCAGGGCTCTTCCAGCAGGACAGGTGGGTGTGCGCTCCTCTGCTCCTGCTGGGAGACTGGGAAGGACTAGGTGCGCCCACCATCATGAAGCGGAAGAGGCTGCTGACGGCCTCGGAGAGCTGGAAGGTAACCTGGGGGCTGGGAGGAGACAGGCAGAGACCTAGTGCCCCACTGAGCCGTGCTGGTGAAAATGGGGTGGGGCGGGTTCACAATTCCCAGGGAGCCATGGGACCGAAGTGTAGGCTTTGGTCAGCTCTGAGGGAGAGGCCTGCCCAAGGCAGAGCCTAAGGGGGAAGATGAGTCCAGAGAAGCCGTTTGTCTCATCCCTGGGAAATTAACCCTGGGGCTCTGGCGAGGCCTCAGGCCTGCTTGGTCCAAGGGGTGGAACAGGAGTTCTGGGCCAGAGGTCTCTCTTCTCAGAGCCCTGTGTCTCTGAGCAACTTAATGACACCCCCCCGAGGAACAGCTCTACCTAGACACATTTGAGGGCAGTTGAGGATTGGCTAGAGTGGTGGCAAGTGCCCGGAGGGCAGGCCGGCGTGTAGCTGTGCGGGCACACTGCTGCTGTACCGTGGGCTCTCCGTAAAGTTTCCCGTTACCCCGTGTCTCTTTTCCAGCAGAGAAACCAAGTCCAGGGGCATCCGGGGGCATCCAGGGCCGTTCCCATGGTCTCATACTTGATCCGTGTTTCCCCTGCTTGCCTCCTTCTCTAGGTCGACAAAGGAGACCTCGCGGCCCTGAGCCTCCCTTCCGGCCCTGGCCATGGTGACACCGACGGCCCCATCAGCCTGGACGTGCCAGAAGGGGCACCAGACCCACAGCGGACCAAGGCCGCCATCGACCATCTGCACCAGAAGATCCTCAAGATCACAGAGCAGATCAAGATCGAGCAGGAGGCGCGGGACGACAACGTGGCGGAGTACCTGAAGCTGGCCAACAACGCGGACAAGCAGCAGGTGTCCCGCATCAAGCAGGTGTTCGAGAAGAAGAACCAGAAGTCAGCCCAGACCATCGCCCAGCTGCACAAGAAGCTGGAGCACTGCCGCCGGCGCCTGAAGGAGATCGAGCAGAACGGGCCCTCGAGGCAGCCCAAGGACGTGCTGCGGGACATGCAGCAGGGCCTGAAGGACGTGGGTGCCAACATGCGCGCGGGCATCAGTGGCTTTGGGGGCGGTGTGGTGGAGGGCGTCAAGGGCAGCCTCTCTGGCCTCTCACAGGCCACCCACACCGCCGTGGTGTCCAAGCCCCGGGAGTTCGCCAGCCTCATCCGCAACAAGTTCGGCAGTGCGGACAACATCGCCCACCTGAAGGACCCTCTGGAAGACGGTCCCCCTGAAGAGGCCGCCCGGGCACTGAGCGGCAGCGCCACGCTCGTGTCCAGCCCCAAGTACGGCAGTGACGACGAGTGCTCCAGTGCTAGTGCCAGCTCGGCCGGGGCGGGCAGCAACTCTGGGGCTGGGCCTGGGGGCGCACTGGGCAGCCCCAAGTCGAATACACTCTATGGCGCCTCCGGAAACCTGGACACTCTACTGGAGGAGCTGCGGGAGATCAAGGAGGGACAGGCTCACCTGGAGGACTCCATGGAGGACCTGAAGACTCAGCTGCAGCGGGACTACACCTACATGACCCAGTGCCTGCAGGAGGAGCGCTACAGGTGGGGATGGCCTGGCCTCCAGAGCAGAGCCTGGCCTGGGGTTGGAGGCCAGCAGAAGGGGGCAGGTCGAGGAGCCCATGGGAGCCTTTCTCCAGGCAGGTTCCAGCAGCCGAAAAACAGGGCTGTGGGACCCACAGAAGGGAGGGTCTGCCTCTCAGGACCGTTCGAGCATCCCTGACTAGAGGTTGTGTTAGTATAAGACGGGGAGACTGGGGCAGGGAGCAGCTGCGTGGCCTCTCTGGAGAGACTGTGGGTGAAGAGCACAGACTAAAGCCAGGCCACCTGGGTTCAGAGCCCAGCTCTGTTCCTGTGTCCCTTTGTGACAGCCCCTGACCTGGTCTTGTCCATGAGCAATATAACGCGCATCCCCCTGCCCAGGAATGAGTCCCAGCAGGTGAAGTCAGGGTATGCAGACACAGCTGGTGGGTTCCAGCAGCAGCTGAAGCCCCCAGGCCCATCTGGGAAGAGCTGGAGTCTCCTCCCTTTCACTCTGCCCTGCCCTTTAGCTCTGTGCTTCTCTTAGGGCACTTGGCACTTAGTCCCTGCGATTTTATTTATTTATTTATTTTTTCTACCGCAGAGCACGTGTGCTCACCAGAGACAGAGAGAGTGTGTGTGTGCTGGGGAATGAGAAAGCACCCACCGGGGGAATGCCATGCTGCACACATGCTCATGCACCCAGCATGTTTTTCAAACCACCAGGTTGGGGACTTGAACCACACAGTCATCCATGTGGGATTCAGCTGCCTTTACCTTCATGCTACTTGCTGGCCTCCTCGTAGGATATGTGTTTTACCCTTTTCCTTAGCACTTTTTCTTCTTTATCTATGTGACAAAGGTTTGGAAAATCGAGGGGAAACCCTGCCTGAAAACCAGCTGACCCCCCATATGATAGTTAGCTGCTATTTTGTACCTCGACAGCTGAGGTTATGTTCTGTGCATGTGCGTGTCCCTGTACCCAGGAAGGCACTTTAGCTCAGGGCTTAAGAGCCCAGGTTGAAGTCAGTCAAGCGTCACTCCTCCCTCCATGAGCTATGGGATCTTGGGTGGGTTCTTCTTTTTTTTTTTTAAAGAATTATTTATTTATTTTTATTATTTTTATTTGTTTTTATTATTTTATTTGTTTTTATTATTTTTAAATTTTGACCAGAGAGAGAAAGGAAAATGAGAAAGTAAGCCACCGGGTCTGGGACTTGAACCATGGTTTGGCTAGGTGAGAGTCCAATGCCTTAACTACCACACCACCTGCCAACCCCCTAGGCAGGTTCTTTAACTTCTGTACCTCGGTTTTCTCCCCTGTGAAATGGGACTGACAATAGAACTTCCCTTGTGGGGCTGTGAAGGCATGCAGGGAGCCGGGCTGTGGGCCATGCAGTGGCATCCCTGGTGTTGCTACTAAAGTGAGACCAGCGCTGGGCACATGGGGTGGGCTGAGTCACTGTGGAGGGAACGGATGAGCTGACCCCAGGGAAGGAGGGGAAGCTCAGGGACTGGTGTCCCCTTCTCTCTGCAAGGTATGAGCGGCTGGAAGAGCAGCTCAACGACCTGACCGAGCTTCACCAAAACGAGATGACGAACCTGAAGCAGGAGCTGGCCAGCATGGAGGAGAAGGTGGCCTACCAGTCCTACGAGAGAGCTCGGGACATCCAGGTACGGCTGGGCACGACCTCGGGAGGCTCCAGTTGTGCTGCTGGGGCTGGCGCTGTCGGAGGGTTAGGGTTGAACTATTCCAGTGGCCGGGGCAGGTGGGCCCTCCATGCTGACAGCATGCAGAGGGGAGCTAAGAGCGAGGCAGGCCCGGGCCGAGAGCACACACCGTGCAGGGGGGAGCCAAGGGCCCGCTGCCTGTGCCACACCCCTTTGAGGGCAACCCCACCAATGCGCGGTTGGAACCTCCAGGCTCTAGCTCACCTGGGGGAGCTGGGGCTGGGCCAGCTCCTCTCCCTGCCATGATCGTGAAGACGCCCCCTTCCTGGCATCCCCGGGTCATTACAGAGCGCCGCCCCCGCTGCAGCTGATCCTCCTCGCCTCGGCCTTGGGAGGGGACCCTGTGGGTTGTCACCTTCAGGGTGGGCTCAGCCTAGGGCTCTGAGCACCCACCCTTCCGCCCCTGCAGGAGGCCGTGGAGTCCTGCCTGACGCGGGTCACCAAGCTGGAGCTGCAGCAGCAGCAGCAGCAGGTGGTGCAGTTGGAGGGCGTGGAGAACGCCAACGCGCGGGCGCTGCTGGGCAAGTTCATCAACGTCATCCTGGCGCTCATGGCCGTGCTGCTGGTGTTCGTGTCCACCATCGCCAACTTCATCACGCCCCTCATGAAGACGCGCCTGCGCATCACCAGCACCGCCCTCCTGGTCCTCGTCCTCTTCCTGCTCTGGAAGCACTGGGACTCCCTCACCTACCTCCTGGAGCACGTGTTGCTGCCCAGCTGAGAGGCCAGCCCCCGAGCCTGTGCTTCCGGCTCTCTGCGGCCACACTTCTCCAGGGGGGACTCTGGGCCTCCCAAGTCCCTTGGACTTGGCCTCCGTTTGGCCTTCTGCCCACACTGTCCATCGCCCCCTCCTCTGTGCTTCTGTCTGACACCTTCTCCCTGTAGGCCTGAACGGAGCCCAGAGCACAGGGCTGGCTGGGGTGCTGGGACACCTGTGGCCAGTGAAGCGGAGGACGCCGGGTTGGGTCGTTTGGAGTATTTATTTGGACTCTCCCGGCCGTCCTTGGGCTTCCCCGGGTCAGGAAGGCACTAGGAATGGGAGAAGGCGAGGGCTCTGTCTGGGGCAGCTACAGTTCCCTCCGGCAGAGTCAGTGAAGGGAGAGCGAGGTGGGGGCTCTGCTGGCCCCAGAGAGCACAGGGAGGTGAGAGGTCCCCAGGCTTCAGGCTCCCCCAGGATGAGGGCAGGCTGGAGCAGCTGCCAGGAGCTCCACCACCCCGCAGCCCTCTTCCCTCCGAGGGAGGTGGAGGCTGGCTTCCGGGGCTGGCCCTCCCAGGATCTGGACAAGGCAGGCTTGGGCTGCTCGGCCGTGGCTTTGGACTTGTCTTACCCCTGCTGCTCTGTCTGCCTACCACTGGATCTGCTATTTTTCAGGGACACAGGCCCCAGGGGCTCCCGAGCCTCAGCCTTAGGCCTCTGGGAGCATGTTGGGTTCTATTTATTTATTTATTTGCTCCACATCTTCCCTGCCCAGTTCGGGGTGAGGCTCCGCCCATGCCTCTCTCTGAAGCCAGGGCTGAGCCTGGGCCCATCAGGCACCTCCACTCCATTCCCTGCAGCCTCCAGATAATCCTGGCTGGGGGGCAGGGGCAGAGCTCGCCAGCCCCACTCCCCGAAGCAGCTCCATGCCAGGTGGGAGGAGTGTGGCCTTTTTATACGTCTTATTTATTTTGTAAGTGTGTTTGTGTGGAGGAGGTTGTTTGCTGCTTTATTTTTTTAAGGCTCTGGAGTGTCGTGTATGGTTTCTCTTCACATCCCAACCTCCCCTTGGGCACTTCCAGGAATAGAGGGGATTTCTCGGAGAAAGGAATCCGCCGGAGCAGGGGAAAGCTGTGTCTGCCAGCTCTTGTGACCTTCCTGAGAAATAAATATCCTCTACATTTTCAAACCATCCTGTCTAGTGCTTGATTAGGTTGTCTCTGTGGTAACTGCCAAGCCTCTCCCCACGCTCAAGCATTCTGGGTAACACAGGCTGGTCCTCACCTGCTGGCCTCGGCCTTCTTCCTCCAGGGTGCAGCCTGGAACAAGGCATCACCCACCGCTTCCACCTTGCTTTGTGCAGCCAGAACTCTGGCCTAAGTGATGTGATAGGGAGAGCTGACCCCCACTGCATCCAGCCCTCCTGGAGCACCTTCTGGGAGGAAGAGAATTGGAAGAGAGATGCCCATGACTGGGAGCAGAAAAACAGCAGGAGGCCTGGACCACAGCAGCCATGCCTAGGTGTGGCCACAAGAGGGCAGCAGAGTCCTTACTCCAAGCCTTGCAGGATTCAGTGAGCTAGCTTGGCTCAGCCAGTGCCTTCCGGAGCACAGGAGCTGGAGCGTGATCTTGAGCCAGGAGGCCAAGCCCTCTGCTCTGCAGCTGCAGCACCCACCCATGGTGGTTCCATAGAAGGGCACCCCCACAGGAACCCTGTAGGAGTTTCGCAGAGGCCACCGAGTCTCCCAGCTGGGGAAGGAGATGCTGTCCTCCAGCATCCTGGTAGCAGCTGGGGTTATGGGAAGAGCACTCACCCCACCGTGCAGACTTTGGTCCTGACCCAGAGTTCGTGCACCTGTAGGAGTCTGACTTGTGCCCCTGCCCTCAGGCCCCATGTCTGTAACGGTTCGGATGCAATAGCTGCTAATCCAGAGGGCTCTGATGTTCTGTGGGTCCGGCAAGTCAAGCTGCAGCTGCTTTGGTGGCCTTAGGCCCAAGGAGGATCCAGGAGTCAGGACATGCCCTAACCAGATGGGAGGACGCTGCGCTGCACCAAAGGGAGGGTGACATGACGGCGGTCCTCACCTTCTGTATGATGGAGGCGCTTCGGTGGATGACCTTCCCGGGCCTCCTGACCATGTCATTCCTGGACCCTGGACAGCCCTTTTCCACCCACGCGTACAAACCTCCCTTGGGGGCCTCACGTGGCCCTGAGTCCACATTCCTGGGCCCCAGGTGGGGGGTGGTTGCTCCAGGCTCTAGACATTTCCCACATTCCTCCCCAAGGTCAGGCGCTTTCTCCAAATTGGCTCTTAAATGTCACTGCCAGCCACAGCCACACTGCAGAGGAGTGTGGAGGCAGGAGGGTGAGGGTGTGTATGTAGGGGGTCATTCACAGCTGATTCTGAGGCAGCAAAGCAAGCAGTCCCAGAAGAGGAGGCGGAAGATCAGCCCCAGCTACCCAGAGTCATCTGCCAAAGGGACGGCCCCGTGGCTCAAATGCCCCATGGTGACAGCTGGGCATCTAGAAACGCTCTGCCCGCCTGGGAGCTGTTTCATCCCTCTAGTGCTCACTGATGCTCACGTGGTGTCTGAGCTTCAACTCCCCTCCCCTGACCTGGGTCTCACAGGATGAGACATGGAGTCACAGTGGCTGCCTCCGGGACCACCAGACAGGCCCTTCCAGAGCATCTACCCTCAGGCTCTGGCCCTGCACCTGAGGGCCTGGGGGCTCCACCAGGCTGGTCACTCCCTGTAGCCCAGGTGTGCGCAAGGTGGGCCGAGAATCCATCTCCACTCAGCCTTGGCCCTGTACCACCCAGCAGCACAGGCAGGCAGGTGGCCGGCTGGCAGTGGCCATGTTTACCAGCCATACAGGCTCTCCCGCCAGCCTTTGATCCGGCAGGCCGTGCGGCGGCCGGCCCCCGCCCATGCTTCCCTGCCATACAGGCTCTCCCGCCAGCCTTTGATGGGGGAGCGGCAGCAGGTGCCCCAAACACTGAAGGCTGACAGCATAGGCCAGAAGGAGGTGACCTACCCCTGCCAGCTTAACCCAGAGCCATCAGTGACTTGGGGCTGCAGACAGGGAGGGAGGAGAGGTGGAGACAGGGCTGCAGGGTGGAGGGTGCCAGAGCAGTAGCTGGGCACCCTAGGGATCTCCAAGGTGGGCTTCGTTTCTTCTTAGGTAGCAGGGCCCTTAGGTCCGGATCCCAGTGTTGAGAGACCAGAAGACCCGGAGCAAATCCCACCCTGCAGCTCACTGGAGACGAGCTCCCAGCTGCTCTTAGGCTGGTCTCCTCACCCGCCAGCAGAAGTGGAGATGGCAGTGGCTCAAGGTTTGCATGCAGGAGGCACGATATTCTGCGTGTCCAAACGTTAGCACAGGGACCAACAGGTGGCATGGTGGTTAAGGTGCTGGACTCCTTCATGACCAGCTGTGGTTCGATTTCTGAACCTGGCAGCTTGCTTTCTCACTTCCCCCCCTTTCTCTTTGGTGAGTACATTTGCCCTATAGCATATTTTTTAAAAATAATAATTTTAAAAATAGCACAGCTCTTCTCATAAACAACCTAAGTTGATTTTTGAAAATGGTTTGTTATTCACTTGACCCAGAGAACCTCACAAAATCATGCAAATCAAAGCTTCAAACCTTCACGTTCATTTTAAGAACACTCGTGAAACTGCCCAGGCCATCAAGGGTATGCATATCCCAAAGCCACCAAGTGTCTGAAAGATGTCACTTTACAGAGTAGTGTGTGCCATTCCGTCATTACTGGTCAAACAGTGGGACTGGGCACAGTGCTGGTGGCCCAGAGAGAGTGCTGAATGTTTGCTGTATGTGCTTAAAGACAGAGAGTACTGCTGAACGCCGGGTCAGTGCAAGGGCTCTGGTCATTGAGTATATTCAGGTGAACAAGGCGCCGAGGGTGTGCTGAAGCACTTACCGAGCTCTCGGTGGGGTGACCCCACACATGAGCCCCCCAGCCCCCACTGCCATGTTGAGCGGACCCTTACCGAAGAGGAGGAAATAGCTCCAAACCCAGAAGAGGAGTCTGCACAGAAGAAAAAGCCCAGAAAAAACTGAGAACCATGCCGGGGAATAAAGTCAGTGTAAAATACGTGTAGATAAGAGAATATTGGTTGTCTTTATATACTTTTTATTTATTTAATTTTATTTACTATTACTTTTAGAATTTGCTATAGGGCATGTGGACTCATCAGAGAGAGACAGACTAAGAGAGAGAGAAAGCAAGAAATCAAGCCACCACGTCCGAGACTTGAACTGCAGAGAGCCACGTGGGAGTCTGGCACCCCAACCACTATGCCACCTGCTGGCTCCACTTGTCTGTATTTCAAATGTCTTCAGGATGCGGGTAAAATGAGATGTTTACCCTGTGCAATGGATCTGGGCTCATAAACGTGCTGTTTTGTTTGGAAGAAATATTTTTGGGGAGTTACTTAATGTAATTAATTTATTTATTTTAATTTGATCAGAGAGGGACAGAGTGAGAGAGGAGGAGGGAGGGAATGAGAAAGCAACCCGCCAGGTCTGGAAATCCAGCCACAGTCAGCCATGTGGGAGTCCAGCACCTTTAACACCACACCACCTGCTGGCCTCAGTTTCTCCGTCTGAATGTGAGGAGGAAGCCAGTGCTACCGGCCAGCAGGGCACTGGCAAGGCTCACAGGGTATGACAGACTGTGGTACCTGCCCCACAGCGCCCCAAGAGCTCCCCGTGCAAGCTCCTGTCGGAATGCTGCTGTGCCAGCTGGACCCTCCCAGGGGGCTCCTTGGGGCAGGGCTGGGCAGGGCTTCGAAAGTGGGAAGCAGGCACCCCTCAACCTGAAAGCTTGCAGGCAGCCTCCAGATGGAGCTGGAAGGGGGAAGCTCAGCCCCACCAGGCCTGCTGGAGTGGCATGAGGGGCAGGCAGGGGACTGGGGCTTGTCCCAGCACATCCAGACCTGCCTCTGGTCCTGAGTCACTGAGCAGTACGGCTCCCACAGGTGGAGCCTCCCCACATCTGATGGCCCAGATGCAGTAGCCTGGCCTTGTGGTGCCGGACAGCCACCTCAGCCTTGCCCCTGCCTTGGATGGCACGCACTGAGCTGGGTCTGCTTCCAGAAGCCAGAGAAGACACTGCGAGGACCGGGTGCCCAGGCTGGGCCCCTGCCCCGCCTCGGCCTCGGGCGCTTTTGTTGCACTACTCTGGTTAGTGTTTCAGTCATTTCAGCCCCTGGAGGAGAAGCTACGGTAAGCCCCTAGAGAGACCTGCACCTCCCACTGGCTGTCTGGGAGTTCCCCTGACCTTTTTCTACTGAGGTCAGCCCCAAGCACCCAGACTTGGGCGGAGGTGGGGAAGAGAGGCCGTCCTGTGAAACTGGTCCTTAATATACGCACACAGGGACAAGTCACCAGTGCAGACCTGTTACCTGGGCTCACCTCCTGCTCCTCACCTTCTCAGCCAGGTGGGGCCGGGCCAGTTAGCAACGGGGAGATGAGAGATGGCATGCTGGTTGCTGAGGAGGACGGTCCCATTCCTCCTGCACATCCTCCTTGACGCACCTGGACGCTCTCATCACTGCTAGGTAGCCCGGAGTGCAGGCATGTGACCCCGAACTGCCCAGCATTAGGGTCCATGCAAGTCAGCAGACTCACCTCTGAGCACTGGCTCCACCAGGCACTGAGGACACAGAGAAGAGCAGGATGCAGTACCTGCACACGGGGAGCTCACGGACTAGCGGGGACATGTGGATGGACGTGCACACACAGAGTGCGCGCACACCCATACACATGTGCATGCACACATACCCTTGACGCAGACAAGCAGAGAGAGATGCTGCACCGGGGGTAGGGGGCAGAGAGGTCCCTGAGAGACTGCTCTGATGGGCACTCTGGCGGTTTCTCGGCGCCCCAGAGGGTGGTAAGAGGCAGTTAGGGAGCGTGTCCTGCAGCCAGCCTTGGTCAGGTCTGGGGTCAGAGGTGAGCAAAGGGTATCACTTGTGGGTGGCTCAGCAGTACTGCCCAGGCCACATCCCAGAGGGCAGTATGGCTGAGGAGGGGCCTTCACAGCCCATTGCACCGAGAAGGAGCAGGAGTGAGGGCAGCTTTAGACTGAAGGAAACCCCACCCGGAACTCCGGGAGCTTGGGGCTTTGGGGTGTTTATCATGCTTGAGAGCAAAAGAAACGTGAG